CTCTCCTCTCTCTTCTCCTCTTCCTCTCTTCTCTCCTCTCTCTCTCTCTCTCTCCTCTCTCTTCTCTCTTCTCTCTCCTTCTTTCTTCCTCTTGATTTTGTCTCCTGTCTCCGTCTCTCCGTCTCTCCGTCTCTCCGTCTCTCTCTCTCTCTCTCTCTCTCTCTCTCTCTCTCTCTCTCTCTCTCTCTCTTCTCTCTCTCTCTCTCTCTCTTCTTCTCTCTCTCTCTCTCTCTCTCTCTCTCTCTTTCTCTTCTCTCTCTCTCTTCTCTCTCTCTTCTCTCTCTCTCTCTCTCTCTCTCTCCTCTCTCTCTCTCTTCTCTCTCTCCTCTCTCTCTCTCTCTCTCTCTCTCTCTCTCTCTCTCTCTCTTCTCTCTCTCTCTTCTCTCTCTCTCTCTCTCTCTCTCTCTCTCTCTCTCTCTCTTCTCTCTCTCTCTCTCTCTCTCTCTCTCTCTCTCTCTCTCTCAATGACGCGATGAATGATGATGATGATGATGATGATGATGATGATGATGATGATGATGATGATGATGATGATGATGATGATGATGATGATGATGATGATGATGATGATGATGATGATGATGATGATGATGATGATGATGATGATGATGATGATGATGATGATACTGACAGCTATATTTAAAATAATAATAATAACAATAACAGTAGCAGCAGCAGCAGCAATAACAACGAGAATAACAATAACAGCATCCACAAAACAAAGACCTCGATAACAAGGACGCAGGCGCCGCCGCGCAACGGCAGCTTCGCAGGGACCGCTCGCACCCGCGGCCCGCGCCCTCCGAGGGACGACGGATGAAGGGTTAATGTCTACGGTGACTGACTGAGGAGATAATCGGCAGCAGCCATAAACGCACGCCAACCGACGGCGAACGAGGTGCTTGCTTCGCGACACTCGAGTCTCTGATTCTCTTCTGTGTCGACCTTTCGACTGGTCTGCCTCTCTTGTTCGGCCCTGTGTATGCTTCTGTGTCTGTCGCTATGTCAGTCTCTGTGTCTGTCGTGTCTGTCGCTGTCTCTCTCCTTCTCTTTCTCTCGTATTCCTATTTCCTTCCTTCCCGTTAATCTCTCCCTTCTTTAACGCACTCACCCTTTACATTCCTTATACAAAATAATTTACAGAAAAATCCCTAACAGTCCCAGAACCAACTCCTGCATTCAGCGCTGGCCTATCACCACCGCCAACAAACACGAATCACCCGTTTCCAAGCTGCACACCCCTTCATCCCTTGCAATTGCAGACATTCCACATCAAGCAAATGCGATTCGCTTGCCTCGTTAATTACGCTCATTTTCACCCGAACCGTCAGCAGGGGATAAATCACACGGGAAATACACTCCGGCCCTGCTCCTGCCTGCTTCTGCCTGCTTCTCCCTGCTCGTGCCTGCTTCTCCCTGCTCGTGCCTGCCTGCTGCTTCTCCCTGCTCGTGCCTGCTCCTCCCTGCTTCTCTCTGCTCCTCCCTGTTCCTGCCTGCTTCTCCCTGTTCCTGCCTGCTCCTCCCAGCTTCTCCCTGCCCCTGCCTGCTCCTCCCTGCTTGCACTCGCGAGGCTCTCTCTAACCACGGGCCGGGACACTGGCGCTCTTCTTACGTCTCGTCGGTGTGTGTCTGTGTGGCTCGTCTCTCTCTCTCTCTTCCCTTTTCTCTCTCTTTTTGCTTGTGTGTGTGTGTTGCAGATTTAATTTCAGTAAATCCGATCCCTGGAATAAATGACTATCTTTAAATATACATTTCTTTGGTGTCAATTAACCATTTATAACGCGGCTCCCTCTCGTGCCTTTACCTCTCAACCATCACTTCCATTCCCTTCTCCTCCCTTTTCCTTTTTACAATAGCCTCTTCATTATCCCGAGACATTTCAAATTCTTTCCTTCCTGGTTATGTCACTCCCTCCCTTCCTCCCTCCCTCCCTCCCACCCACCCATCCCTCTCCCTCCTCTCCCCTTCACCCCTCCTCCTCCTCTCCTCCTGTGCGTGGGGAGGCTGTCTTCGCAACACTGACAGAGAGATGAAGGAGGTGAGAAGGGTGAGGGTCCAAACGCACTGTATGTGTGGCCGCTTAGTGTGGGTCCCACTGTGGATTCATTTTCTTACTCGTTCGCTCAGTCACTCTTTCACCTTCTTTGTCGTTGTTCTTGTCTTGCCTTTGCCTTTCTCTGCCTCGCCCTTCTTTCTCTTCTTTGCTCGCTCTCGCTCTCTCGCTCTGTCTCTCCTGCTTTCTCTGTCTCCCTCTCCCTCTCTCTCTTTGCTCTCTCTCTCTCTCTCTCTCCTTGCTCTCTCTGAGGAACAAGGGTTACCTTCCCGGGTCTCCACTAGGGACCCGCGACCAGCGCTCGAAACCTACAGACAGTGGACCCGGGGCAACACACTTGACCGGGGCCCACGGACCTGACCACACCTCTCCTTGGGGGCGCTCCCCCACGCGCGCCCCGCTATGCGCCCCTAGGGCTCCCCTTTGCACCAGCACGACACAACCACGCCACGCTACCAAACCCTCCTTCAATAAACAGCTGAACCAGATTGTGTCTCCATAATCCACCAAATCAGGGCAACACAAAACCCTGACAACTGGTGGCAAGCGACGGAATGACACGAACAAGCCTCCGAAAAACTGTAAGTACACCATTGGCAATTTCCTTTTCTTTCCCCTTTCTTCGCCTATGTGTGCATGCCGTTTTTTACAAGTGCAGTGATTTTTTTTCAAATATCTAAAGTCTTCGTGCAAAGTGCATTTTCTTTCCTTCTTTCTGTTATCTACTATGTTTTTTTCTCGTCATGGTAGATCGTCACTTTTTTTTAAGGGAATCAATCCCCATTTTCATTACATGCGAGAGTGCATTTTCTTTGGCGTGTTTTATTGCTTAAATCTAACCACTTAAATATTTTATTCATGTGGGTGAACATAACGTGCATTTTCTTTAAATTATTATCTATTTCTACGGCCATCCTAGGTCACGTGACTACGGCCATATTCTTGACTTTTTTCTTATTCTCATTATATCTCACTACGTTAACCGACGCCATATCGACGTTCAGTTCGCATATCATTACTGTGCATTTATTTAGGCTCGGTTTAACTATGCAATTGTGGGATATTTTGGAATATTTAAATAATTTAGTTGAATTATGCACAAACAAACATTTCCCCCACGCTTCCCACCTACCCCCATCATCCTGAACCCCCTCCCTTCCTCCTAACCCCCGCCCGTTAATCGCCCCCTCCCTCTCTACCTATTTTCAATATTTCTAGTCCACTAGTGTTTAATTATTTTTTGCAGTGATAACGTTTTAATTTTTTTCTTTTCGAATCTATATTTATACAAAACAGTGTGCCTTGCTCATTTGTGTTTATATGAATAACTTCAGTATTTTTTATGTATAAAATGTTATATTCGTTTTATACTGCGAATGACCTCACTCATGGTTGTTCAGGTGAAATCAGGTCAGGTCCTATAAAATTGTGATTTTATCATTATCCCGTTATCAACGTATTTACGACAGAGTGATGAATTTACTTCCGGTTTGCATGAATATATTGGGAACTATAATAATACTAGCATAATTCATCGAATTAAATCATATGATTTTTGTTATTATTATAGTATATTTGTGCATATTCCGAAGTATGTTTCGCCGTAATTATTCGTCTTCTTTATAGATATATTTTTTCTTTAATTATTCATGTTCATTTATTGGTAATTTGATTATTTAATTTCTAGATTATTATGTACTTGTTTTTTTCGCAATATTTAATTTTACATATACTAGCTCTTGCTATTTTTAACGAATGTCCGCATGATGACCTCATTTGACCTTACTCAGGTAGATTGTACTTATAGCCATCTGACTCTGCTCGACCCAAAAATACATTCAAGCTATTTGTATTTATATCTTACTTTATTCAATGATCTCCGTGTTAGAGATTAATTATATTAACAGCTACTACGATTTCATATTGTTCGTGATTTTTGCTTTCATGATCTTAATCACGAACCTCACCTCATCATTTTACATGGTCCTTGGTGACGACCCCCAGCTGGGTATGGGCATGTAATTAGGTTAAGGTAATTAATGTTAAGTTGTTCTTGTGCCAAGCAGCACACTTATCGCCCAGGCGATCTCAGCGCCATGCGCCTTCTTATCACTGAGATTATCGCTGGTATTCCCCAAGAAGATGGGTACCCAATTGCGTTCTGCGTATGAGCTTAATGATGTGTCCCTTCTATGGTTGGGTCATACCCAACCACGTCATCTCCTTCCTCAGGGAATTTATTTTATGTATCATTTACAACCACGAGGGTTGTCTTTCGGCTGTCAGTTGTCTCAGAGCTGACCCAAACCAGTCACCGTTTCATTCATTTTACGTACTAATTAAAGTACCATTTTTATGATTTCACATAGTAGTTGATTAAAATTGCAAATAACGTAAGTTCATTGTTATTAGTGTGTAACGTGAATGTTTTTTTTTGTGCAGTCAGATCGGTGATTGTTTTCATTGCGTGCAATCCACATTGCCACCCCCGTCTACATACCTGACCCCCCATCCTCACCCATACCTTTTTTACCTTAGCCTCCCGCCCGCCCGCCCACTCCTCCCCTTCGCTTATTTCTTCCAACTTCCACGCCATCCTATTCCCTTTTTACTCATTTTTATTTCTTTTTTTCCAAGGAAGTTCGTCGTTCAAGACAAGTCCTTGCGGACTGCGACACCTTTTGCTTTCTTGTAGTTTTGCACAATGCTTATCTCTTGTAGATTTTCATTTCTTGCTATCTGAGACAATTGCAATTCAAACAAGTCCTTGCGGATTATTGCAACTGTCTCCCTAAGCATACTCCTCTGTCTATCCTTGGACAGTGCATTATTGAAAAAATAAATAAAAAATGAAAAATCATGCAAATAATTGAACTGACATTGCAATCTGATAATATTTTGAATATATCTCACGGCCCTTGCCATTACACAACCCTCCCCCCCCCACCTGTTTGCCCTCTTGCCCTATCTCTGCCTCTGGTGTACTTATTTCAGAGAACGCCAGCACCAGACCGACGTGGACGACGGTCCGTAGCGTATGCCGAGCAATCTGAGGAACAAGGGTTGCCTTCCCGAGTCTCCACTAGGGACCCGCGACCAGCGCTCGAAACCTACAGACAGTGGACCCGGGGCAACACACTTGACCGGGGCCCACGGACCTGACCACACCTCTCCTTGGGGGCGCTCCCCCACGCGCGCCCCGCTCGGCGCCCCTAGGGCTCCCCTTTGCACCAGCACGACACAACCACGCCACGCTACCAAACCCTCCTTCAATAAACAGCTGAACCAGAATTGTGTCTCCATAATCCACCAAATCAGGGCAACGCAAAACCCCTGACACTCTCTCTCACTTTCTTTTTCTTTCCTTCTCTCGCCCCCCCCCTCCCTCCATTTCTACTCCTAATAAGCGAGGGCAGGTTCTCACGCGGGTAATGCGTGTGTGCGGATTTCTGCCATTTCGACTTCCTCTCCACTTTCTTCTTCTTCTTCTTCTTCTTCTTCTACCAAAATTGTTTTATTCTGCTACTTATTATTTCAATTGCAACGAAATGAATTTGATCCGTGACTACAAATGCCAATTACAAAGTCAAACTCTAATCAGCAATTATGATTATTAGTGTCAGTTGCAATAATGTAAGTAATAATAGTAATAGCGATAAAAACAGTAATAATAATAGCTGCAGTAGCAGCAAAAGTAGAAGTAGAAGTAGTTGTAATAGTAGTAGTCGTAGTAGTAATAATAGTAGTTGTAGTAACAGTAGTAGTAGTAGTGGTAGTAATAGTAGTAATAATAGTAATAGTAGTAATAATAGTAATAGTAGTAGTAATACTAGCAGTAGTACTAGTAATACTAGCAGTAGTACTAGTAGTGGTACTAGTTGTAGTACTAGTAGTAGTAGTAGTAATAATAATAGTAGTTACAGCAGCAACAGTGTGGTTGTGGTGGGTGGTGATAATAGTGGCAACAGTAGTAACTTTAGTAATAGTAGTAATAGTGGTCCAACAGCAGTAGTACCGCAGTAATTGTAGTAATAACGATGGTGATGATAATGGTAATAACAACAATAAAAATAACAATAATACGGATAATAATAATAATATTATTAACAATAACTATAACAATAACAACAATAATAATAATAACAATAACAATAATAATAATAACAATAACAATAATAATAATAATAATAATGATACTAATAATAATAATAATAATAATAATAATAATAATAATAATAAATAATAATATAAATCAATAACAATAATAGCAGCAGAAATAATCACCTGTTGCAAGCCTGTACTGCAAGACCCCAGCAACCCCCCCCCCCCGCTGCGGTTTCTCTCGTCACCGCAGCGCAACAGCAGCATGTGGAACAGCAAGGTCGCCCGGAGCAGCACCATGACAACGGCCGCCACGTCAATAAACATGACGGCGCGGGATGTAGGGTACGCTCTCAACGCCCCCCCCCCCCGAGGTACCATACCCTACCCTTTACCCCCCCCCCCTCTTCCTCGCGGGAAACAACTGATCTCATGTATCAGCGTTTCCCTTGTTGGTATCTTTAAGCGAATAATTTAGTAAGTGGTCAGGATAATCATAACAGTAATAGTAGTAATAGTAGTAGTAGTAGTAGTAGTAACAACAGTAATAGGAGTAGCAGTAGTTGTAGTTGTAGTATGTAGAAGTAGCAGCAGCAGCAGTAATAGTAGCAGTAGTAGTAATAGTTGTTGTAGTAGTAGTAATACTACTGGTGGTAGTCGTAGTAATAGTAGTAACAGTAGTAGTAGTAGCAATCGTAGTCGTAGTAGTAATAGCAGTAGTCGTAGTAATAACAGTAATCGTAGTAGTTGTATTACTTGTAGTAGTAGTAGTCCCAGTAGTAATAGTAGTAGTAAAAGTAGTAAGTCCAGCAGCAGTAGCAGCAGCAGCCAGCAGCAGCAGCAGCAGCAGCAGCAGCAGCAGCAGCAGCAGCAGCAGCAGCAGCAGCAGCAGCAGCAGCAGCAGCAGCAGCAGCAGCAGCAGCAGCAGCAGCAGCAGCAGCAGCAGCAGCAATAGTAGTAGTAATAACAGAAGTAGTAGTACAGCAGCAACGGCAATAGCAGCAGCGGCCACGTGCCCAGGCTTCCAGGGCGAGGCCACACCTTTAGCAACCGATCTCCGACGACGTGGCTCCGTGCCCTCGGGGTGAACATGATCAGGGAAGCAAAATCGAGATGGAAACTGGTGCATTCACAAAGCATTCTAAGCGGAGTGCAATTGCAATTTGCTGGAGGAGCACGCCGCCATGCCGACTGCTGCAGTGAATGGGCGGGTTTGCCAACGCTCCCGCCTCCCCGATCTGGCTGCAGCGCCCGAGAGCAGATCGGTGATTGAAGGCGCGAGAGAATGCGGAGCCGTGTAGATGGTGCTATGTCCCGGGCTAGGTAATAAATGGTAGCTTAGTGCAAGTACTAGTAGTATCGAAGTGGCATTATAGTAGCAACAGCCTAGTAACAGAAGTAACAGTATTAAGAAGGAAACCGGCTGCAGTAATAACGAGTGAAATATCGGTACTCACGGCAACAAAGATCTCTGTTTTCTTTTGGTCGAAACCGCAGTCATGGCAGAATTTACAATGGCATTCTCCCTATCGCACTGCCACTATGCATCAATTGCAACAAAGCCCGAGCCCCACAAAAAGCAACAAAACTCAAGCCACATTACATATCCGGACAGACAGACACAGACGGACAGAGGCGGATGTGCCTCCTCCCCGACCCCTCCCGCCTTCCTTCCGGGGCTCTAGAACATTCCCCCCCCCCCACCCCATCCGACGCCCACCCCTTTAAGCCCCGCATCCACCTTCGAGAAACCCCAAAGGGAGGAGGGGGAAAGGAGGAAAGTATGACCTGTGCGTGCGCGCGTGCTCTCCTTCTTCTCTGGCTCGTGGACAAATGAGATGCTGACATGAAGGCCTTCACTCTCTCTCGCCTCTCTCCCTCCTCCTTTCCTTCCTCCTTCCCTCTCTTCTTCCTTGCACAGTATATATGTATGTATGATAATAATGATAATAATGATAATAATAATGATAATGATAATAATAATGATAATAACAATAACTATTATTATAGTTAGTTATTGTTATTGTTATAATCAATATTGTTATTATTGTCATCATTATTATTAATATACATATTCATTTTTCATTATTCTTATCATTATTATCATTATTATTTTAGTTATTATTATTCTTATGACGATGACGATGATGATGTTGCTTCATATATCTACATCTATACACATACATACACACAAACGCGCGCGCGTGTGTGCATTAATAATAATAATGATAACAATTATAACAATAACAATAATTATAATAATTATTATTACTATCATTATCATCATTATCATTATTATTAAGATGATGATGATGATGATGATGATGATGATGATGATGATGATGACGACGATGATAGTGATGATGATGATGATGATAGTGAAGATGATGACGGTGATATCAAAAACAATAACAACAACAATAATAAATAATATAATTTAAAAAATTCCTGAATCTGGATTACCACAAAATTCTAATGGCATATACACTAGGCTTAGACACACCTCTAGCAAAGATTTCATCAAAATCTGTTCATAACTTTTTGAGTCATCCTGCTACCCAAAAACAAACAAAGAAACACAACTAAAAACATAACCTCATTTGCGGAGGTAACAATTACTATCACTATTACCATTATCCTTAAAATAGGAGCAATAGCAATAAAACTAGAGCTGCTACAGCACTAACAACTATAATAATAATAACAATTAGCGAAAAATATACATATTTATAAATAAATGTAATGTGTGTATGCGTGCGTGCGTGCGTGTACATATGTACTTATGTATGTATGTATGTATGTATGTATGTATGTATGTATGTTTGTATGTATGAATGAATGACACACACACACACACACACACACACACACACACACACACACACACACACACACACACACACACACACACACACACACACACACACACACACACACACGCACGTACGCACGCACGCACGCACGCACACACACACACACACACACACACACACACACACACATACACGCACACGCACACACACACGACCACACACATATATATATATATATATATATATATATATATATATATATATATATATATATATATATATATATATATGTATGTATATGTTTGTACAAGTATGCATGTATGTATGTGCATGTATGTATGTACATGTATGTATGCACATGTATGTAATGATGTACATGTATGTATGCACATGTATGTAATGATGTACATGTATGTATGCACATGTATGTAATGATGTACATGTATGTATGCACATGTATGTAATGATGTACATGTATGCATGTATTTATGTATGTACGTATGTATGTATGCACATGTATGTAATGATGTACATGTACGTATGCACATGTATGTAATGATGTACATGTATGCATGTATTTATGTATGTACGTATGTATGTGTTTATGTATGTACATGCATGCATGTATGTACATGCATGCATGTATGTACATGCATGTATGTATGTACATGCATGTATGTATGTACATGCATGTATGTATGTACATGCATGTATGTATGTACATGCATATATGTATGTACATGTATGTATGAATGTATGTACATGCATGTATGTACGTATGTATATTTGTACATGCATGTATGAATGTATGTACATGTATGTATGTACGTATGTACGTATGTATATTTGTACATGTATGTATGTATGTATGCATATATGTATGTATGTATGTATGAATATGAATATGAATATGAATATGAATATGAATATGAATATGATACGAATATGTATATGTATGTATGTATGTATGTATGTATGTATGTATGTATGTATCTGTATATATGTATGCATGTATGTGTATGTATGTATATGT